ACTTCAAATCATTTCGCTTTCCGTGTTCATTTGAGGAAATCAAGTACTGTGATATGTCCAATCGAAGTGGTATCGACAAACTTCTACTTTTTTTTTCTTTATATATTACTACTCATCTTTTATAACACTTTCTACTTTTACTAAAATGCTTTACGTAACGAATTTAAATTTAATTTTTACTAGTTACAGTTGCCGCAATCGTCGTACTGGGGAGGCCCAGTTGTGGTAACGGTAAGAAATGTATACGATTTAATGAACCGAAATATTTCTTACCATTATTATAATTTATTAAAACAATTTCACTTATTTTGCTAATTTCATAATTCTTATTTCCTACATTTCTGTTCTATTCGATTTCAGTATACCTTTCTATTGCAGTTCACGTACGTAAGTTTGCAAGCGTTACGTTCATTCGTTTCAAAGTTGCTTTAAATCACTCGGGTCCTTTCTTTTAATAAAAATTGCCATCAGTTTGCTTGTAAGCAATTTTCGGACAAGGAGTTATTGAAAAAAAAGCTTTCTCGGCCAGGGGGTGGTTGCTTTTGACGCGTGTCAGTTGGGCTGCTCTCGATCTTGGTGCATTCTTAGCTGGGGATTGGTTGCTTTTGCGCTTGTCAGTTGGGCGACTCTCCAATGTATCCACTTTTTTTTCTTGGCAAGCAAATTATTGAAAAGGTTTTGGCTTTGGTGCTCAGTTCAAATGCTTCTTTTTCAATGTTTTTGCTAGCTCTTAAAAAATCATAAACTTTAGAATTATTTGAGCATTTTAGATTATCACTGCGCGTATGTTGTTCCAGCTGAAATCGATTGTTACAATTTGCATATGCAAATATGATACAGTTTTGTATATGCCAGAAGCCGTTCTTCAATTATCAAGTAAGCCGTTTGCAAATGGGAAAAAATCTTCAATTAACCAGTAAATTTATGCAAATTTGGGAGCGAGGCTGAATGTTCATTTATTTAAGTGGCCAAATTCAGCCCTTTGTTCAGTTTATTTTCTAAACAGTTAATGCGTGGTGGTGTTGTTTTACACCATGGATCCGGTAAACGTGATATGCGGTGCTGCGGAGCCCTCCGAAATTACATTCATTTACGATTGGCTGGTACCAATATTTCGCCCAATAAATGGTTTCAGTGTTTTTGGCGACACCGAGACATTTTGCACCAACTATCGCAGTGCCAGCCATGAGTGGTTCGTCTTTTTTCGAATGTGTTTCTCCTCGCATGAGATATTTCACGGGTTTGACAGATCTGTTTATGATAAAAACATTCGGTTGGGTTGGCTTTTGCGGGAAATTCGCCTCGACTTATAGTGGGAGGAAAAACTGGACTCCAGCTGGTTTTTACTAATACTTATTTTTTTCAAAACTCAACTTTAAATTCAAAATCCAAGTTGCAACCCAAACAGTGTTTTTTTCACATCCCTTCGTGACACTGAATCCCAGCTGGCAACTTCTCTATTCTTCTGTATATTTTACGCTTGCCAAATCCAAGTACAGGCATCCAAATAGATCCCTCCGGCTTTTCTGGTATCGCTGTAAAAGTATCGTTGAGCATCATGAGTGAATTCTTGACTAGCCGGAGAAATATTTCAGGATGGTGCATTTGTACAGAACAAATTTCGGTCTACCACCAAGGCCTCGTATACATTTGTATTTGGAGCAGAGCAGAGTTGTGGCCTCGCATGCATCGCCGAAACTATGCAGATTTTCATTTCGGCTACTCGATAACAATACCAGTCACCGCATGCTAATCAAAAGTTTCTATTTGTCAC